AACGCACCCAAGAGGTGATTGAGCTCCCAGTTCATTTGTCGATCACCCGCGTTGTGCGTTTGACACGCGCTTTGTGCGCAGCTTGATTACCAAGCAGCGCTCTGAAACCCGGCGACTCGTATTGGACTCACGCTCACAGTCGACACCAGTGACGATGCATTTAAAAACTGGTCCTGGACCTCCCCTAGGTCGACTCAGCCTCAAATGAGTGCCTGCTTTGGTGTGTGTAAACATCGGCACTGGGTAGACAATGACGATTGGGCTTGATGCTGGCCACCCAACCCCTCGTGTTCCGTGCCGGCCTTCATAGGTGCTCGCTAACAGCACTTGCCCCAACAGTCTGTTCAGGCTATAGGGGGATCTTTGTCTTTAAAAAAATGCAAATATATGCATGTTATGTAGTATTCTAGTATGGGTCCGTTTTGTAAAAGGTTATGTAACAAATAACTGCATTGGAATGTGTGGAAACATCGCCGCTCGGGAGCCATTAGGCTACCGTGCCGGCCTTCTTAAGGGCACGCAAGCAGCACGTGTCCCAACAACGGCTGTTAAGCCTACACGGCGGGATCTTTGTCTCTGTGGCTCGAGAGTGTGGGATTTTAGTCGCCCGCTGCCGACGGTTGGAGGTAAATGATGAGCGGAGACTGCTGAAGCAACCGGAACCACCCTCTGGGCGTGTTTTTTTTTTACGGCTTCGCTACTGCGTAACTCTCCAAGACGGTGGTCACTGCATCGTGCGCTTTCAGATGCGCTTCTGCGGCCCGTCTGGAACGCTCTTTCTGATATTAGGAAGCGACTGGAGCTATGCACTTTTAAATCATCATCTAGACTGCAAACTAAAATTCTTCAGAAGGGCTCTCTGTATTTAGTTTGTTGTCCTTCCCCCGCACCCCTGATTAGCACGGTTGACTACATACGGTGCGAAAGAAGTTCAGCATACATACAGACAACGTTGGGGGTGGGTTTTTTTCTGGCTGTATTTAGGCGCGACGTTTTGGCTGCACGTGCTGGGGGCATCTTTAGCTCCCGCAGCGAAACGTCGAGCATATTGCCCAGCAACGCGTGGCACGAACCGAAAACACGCCGGGGGGGGGGGGGAGGGGGAGGGTGGATACCAGAACCGATCCCCAACGAAGGTTCCTGGCTGAGTCTCAGGACTCCCATTTTCAACAGGCTCCTGGCAAGTTGCACGTTTCGCCAGCTCCTCTTTCATAGGAAGCAGCGCTTTGCGATGTGGGAGAAAAGCCACCGAGGATTTGTGGGTGGTTCTGGATGACACTAGAACTGATTTGTTTGGCTGAAAGTGGTCTGGCTAATACTCCGGTCTTATCTTCATCATCACCGGTCATGGTTTCTCCACTGCAGGATTGAGAGCCGTATCACGTTGTTGTCATCTCTGATGATCTTGTGAATAACCAAAATTACGGGGGGGGGGTTGGGGAAATGTAATTGGATGTTTGTGACGAAGGAATTCCTGGCATCGTTATTTGAGTGTATCATTGCAAGTTTTTGCACACAGTGCAATTAATGTAACTGCCAGCAGACTGTCAGCTGTGTTAATAGGACGTATTAGCAATTGAGCATGCTTAATTTGGTTATGTGTATGAGACTGCGTGGCATCTCAAAATAACAATTCTCCCCGCTCTTTTTTTCGCATGAAATTTTTCAAACATTTCCAAAGTTGCACAGCCCTTCCTTGCTATCGCTTAATGCAAGTGTCACCAATTAAAATATAAAGTACCACGCTCGCGATGTGCGCGTCACGTGGCGTGCGTTGCAATCTATTGCGAATTCCGAAAATTGCGTGCAAATTGCATGCGAATATATCTCTGTGCTATGATGTCAAAATGAATCGGATTCAGCCCGATGGCTCCGTGCGAGAAGGAGAGGCTCGCGATCGGTACGTTGCGAGTTCGACTCCTGAATGAGGGGGTTGACCCCTGACCCATCATCCCATCTGGGGTCAATATAATGAGTTCCTCTTCGTGGGAGAGTTGACGGCGGTTGTCCTATGGATAGACTTGTCCGTGACATAGCAATATGGAATTTCCACCACTCGGTCAGGGCGGCAAGCAAAATGAGCACCGCTTCAATACTGATTTGAGCATCACATTAATTTAGATTTATTTTTTGTGAATGGGATGTAACAATCAAGACTGAAACAAATGAAACAGACAATACAAACTAGACAGTATAAATGAGACACACCAAATCGTGGCAATTCCACCAGCTGGTCGTGGCTATTCACGTGTCTTGTAACTCAACACTGTGGCGACAGCTAGGGTTGGTGTATCACCGCAACATATGTTATGAAACTCCCTTACGGTGGGCATGGAGGTACTATATATATACCCTGACTCGACAGGAGACGGCAGAAGAGTCAAACTTGGACTCCACCTGTTCCATCTGTAGGGGATAGAGCGTTGCTCCCTTGCTGCCTTTGGTTTTCTATGGGCACTCCGGTTTTCTACCACACATTGACTCATGAATTGGCTGAAAACACCTTTACATGTGTGTGTGCGTGTGCTATGTAGAAGAGCCATTGCCCAATAACGTCGCCGATTGCATATGTTTTTTTGTGCAGCATTATTGACGAGTGTGTTGAGTTGTGATTTTGTTATTATATGTAAGAGGACTGCAGAGCTCGGGCAATTGTTTCCGCCGGCTCCTCACTGCGTGGCTCCTGCTGCGTTCCCGTGTGTCCGTGGTTCCTCCGCGCGCCTCTGAGTCGTCATTCCTCTATCTCTCTCTCGTAGAGAGCGAGGACCGAATAACGTGCGGCTCATTATGCAAGTTGAAATTATTATGATTATTCATTTGTGGAATCGCCGACGGATGGTCGCTTACAAGTTTTATTATCACCGACTGCACATTGCTTGGGGATGTGCTTACCTTGGTTGTTAATATTCATGCGCGGTTCCAGGACCACAACACAAGAGGCCTAAAGTCGACAAACTGATCTATACTATACGATTTTTTAAAAATTTTCCAGTTCAGGCCCACTTTAGCTAGATAGCTTTTTTTCATAAGTGACCTGGCCACAAATGGTAGTTCAACGAAGTGGCTTATGTGTAAAATACTCTAAACGCGTGTTTCTAAATCTGGAGGGAAAAATCGGAGGACCCGCAGAAAACTTCACGCGACCACAGGGAGAACATGCAAACTCCAAATATACAAGCGTCAAGATCGGGATGAAACCCACAGCCTCCTGTATACCAGGCGAGATAGTTAACATCTCGCCACCGCGGCGACCATCTTTACACAAGTGCACAGATATACCCCGGGCCTACGACTAGATACTCCTGGCATGTGTGCAACCTCGTCAGATCTTGGACTCCAAGCAGGGCGGAAACTCGGGGCAGAGTGCTGGATGTGCGACCACCACGCACGGTAGCTTGTTATGGGCGGTGGGGCTACGTGGTTGGGCAGCGGAGGTCTGTGCAGAAAAATGCAGCGTTTTGCTGCACTTCTATGCACCCCGCCTTCGGGAGCCCGCTCTGAACAACGAGGCGAAGCGTTTACAAAACAAACCCTCGCGGCATGGTTTGGGGAGGCCCTCGTCCAGCAGTAGATTGACATGGAGATGAAGTTCACGCAAACTAGCTGGGCATGCGACGCGGTCCAGTTCGGCAGCAATTGCCACCCCTTGCTTATTAAGGTTGACTTTATCTGAAGTGAGTCGCAGCGATGATGAGAATGTTTACAAATAGAGGCTGGCAATGCAAATCATCGTGTGAATGGTCCTGGCACTTCTGTGCGTGTGTGAAACTACTCGACATTAATTATAACTATCTGTTGACTCCAACGCCAAAACCACGCTTAGTGGCGTTTGTAAATGTTAATTTCTTTCCCCTCCCCCCTTCCAAGTGATTAATTCCTTCCATTAAATTTATTTTTTGAGTAAAAACTCGCCCTCCCACCAAAGGTGGCATCGCGATACTTTACTACAGTACTAATTTACACGAAAGTAGTCCTACCCCGTAAAATCAAGAACTAAGTTTAATACCATTGTGCCGTCTGCATCGTGTGGAGGGATGAAGGCAGCTTTCATTCGCTACCAATGCAGCTCACGGTTCACCGCTCTGTTCGGGATGCCGGTCGTGGGAGGATGACACCGCCACCACTTACGAAGTCACTTCGAGAGCAACGCTCCTCGTTTGTGTCCGTGAACAGGCGGCTTCGCCGCACGTCAATCGAGCCCACACGCTTCACGCTCACAACTTCCACTGATTTCAGTGGACAAAGAAAAACAACGTTTTATTCCGGATTTTTATTTCCGTGCAGTAATTGGTGACCAACTCCGAGCAGAGGTCATAAACTCGCTTAACCTGAGACGACACAATTTTAATCATTTGTGGCTGCCTGTATTCATCAGCGGCACGTCAGCTGAGCGCCTCTGACATGGCCATTGTGAACCTCGTGAGCGTTGAGTGGCCACTCTATCGAGCATGCGAGCGGAGCAACTGGACTGGGACCCATGGCCTCCGGGAGCCAAGTGGCCGGATACAAAGAGAGGGGGGCCGAAATTTGACCAGGGCACCACCCCCCTCCAACCACCCCCATTTCATTTCTTGTCCCTAGCCAAAAACCAACTGGTTATTGCTGAGAGTGTAATAACAGCAAAGAATGAGTCATCTGCTTCACGGTGGACGTTGAAGGGGCCCTGGTGGTGTCTTTCGCGTAAAAAGAGATCGGGCCATTGTGCGCCTAGACTAGACCGTGAATCACTAGATTTGGGATCACACAAACACAGGGCAGACCCCAGCACCTGCGGGCCAGGTGCTGGGGGCCAGGTGCTGCGATCACTTTGTGCCGCACAGGGGACAGCTGCCACTGGGCGGGGGGGGGGGTGTGCCCCCTTTCAAATGCGTTGTACCGAGCGGTGACGCGGTTGCGTCCTGAGAATAAGGACCCCCCCCGCACCCCCCCCCCGCCCGAAAAACTCTGCCCCAAAGTCCACGCTTTGAAGAAATTTCAGAATGTCGACAGGAAACACAGAGTGCATGTTAAAAATGATAACGTTTATTAATGACCGCAAACTATACATTTTGCAATAAAGTTGATCTGTATATTCTGACGGCTGGTGCATCTGAAGTTTCCGTGTAAACTTGTGGTGTCTAAGAGGGAATGGACTGTGCATTCCGCAGTATTGGCTATAAGCACACTATCGAAGCATAGGATATCCAGTACAAACCTGGACAATGTCTAAATCGTGCAATTTTTTTTATATATACGTACGTATGTTTTTTTTTTCACTTTATCATTTTTGCTTTAAACCTTAGCAATAAACAAGTCCAAAAACACCACTTGTGTGAACGCAAAACAAAGGTCCATTACGTAAACAGTGCACATCAGTAACACAAGCAGGCAGTTACGACTACTGTAAACCTTGTAAACCAGCATATATGGAATGTTTAAGGTCAGGCATGTGGGCATAGCCTGTGTGTCCGTGTGTCCGTGCGCGCACGTGCGCGTGTGTGTGTGTCTGTCAGGCAGTCAAGACACCGGTTTCGTTGCCACTGCCGCCACAGCTGTCTTCGTTCTACATCTGTAGAGCCTTCAGACACACGAAAGCTGACGTAAGCATGCCTGAATTGACTCGGAAGTTTACTTTTTTAATTCCACCCCCCCCCCCAACTAAGATTCGATGCCATCTAATAAATTCGCCTCTCGAGAGCAACCCTCCCCAAAATTGAGGGCGAGAGATTTGGCCGCCAGGTGGCCGAGATTGTGGGATCGCGAGCGGATCCTCGTCCGGGAAGTGGCCGGGGGCGACCTGGCCACGGCATCTTAAGTTGCCGTCGTCCAAGCGCCTCCTGCCGCACGAATAACCAATGCACGGCAGGAGCATGCCCAGTAAACATCACGGCAACGGCATATGGAGCGGGGAGCATCTTTTGGAAATAGGATCATGGGCAGCAATGACAACGACAACAACAACAAACTTTTCAAGTGATTCAAGATTTGGTCCGGGGGTAATTGCCCCGAGACGCTTCCGCTGGCAGTTGTCTCTGCGTGCGAGCGCCGTGGTGTTTATTGGATTCATGTTCGTTGCGTCAGAGGCTTCATTCGCGAGGCTTGCGTGCCGTTAGTCACTCGTAAATATTCGCGGCTGCGGCGCCGGTCAATATGTAATTGTCTCTCCGGCATTAGCGTTTAGGCTCGTAACAGTTTATCGTAACGCAAACTCGAACATGTCAGCAGCTGAAACGGCGTCGCTATATTATCCGTAAGGACAGCGCTTGAATTTTAAACGCGATAAACAAATTTGTATATCCGAATTCAGATTCTATTCGATTTTGTTTCTCTCTCGTTTCTTAATTGACTGCCAACGCGTATAGACGATGACTGATCCAACCTACGCATACATAGCACGTCAACTACGCACACACAATGAAACAGCATCAGTTTTTTTTTTTTTACGCAATGTAGTCACTGCACAGGCATGTTCAGGTTTTAACGTGTGTTGCAAATAGGACAGTTCAGCCAAACAGTTGCTGTTACCATCACAAATACAAAACAGGGCTTATGTGTGACTATTACAATTATCGATTGAAACCCCCGCCACCACCCCACCCACTCCCCCATCGTGAATGTTTTTGTTTACGCCTTCGAAACAACGGCGACAAAACCCGCAGCGCGTCACTAAGCCTGCCTGCGGACGCCGCGCGTTAAGACAATTTTTTTGTTTCGGGCAGAAACGGGCTCGCAAATTTGTACCGCCGCTAGAAGTGCGGCGGCGACGCGACACGTGCCACAAGTTCTGGGGGGTGGGGGGGGGGGCACACTTTGGCTCCAGTCTAACCACACGCGTGGCGGGGGCCTGGCGGTGGGCATGCGCGTGGTCTGACACGCGTGTGGTTGGACACGCGTGACCCCACCACGACCGCCTCCCCACCGCCGCGGCTCCACTACGGACCGACTCGTCGAGAACCGAAGATCGATTTTTGTTTTTTGGTCTGTTCCCCCCTCCCTCCCCCCCAATTGGACGAGCCCTCGGTCGTGCTAGCAAGCTGACGCTGGTGGGCGGCTGAAAGGCGTTTTATTTTTTATTTTTGTTTGTTACTCTGTGCGTGGAAGGGAAGCCCTAAGGCAGTGCAAATTAAAATCTGGCGGGGGCTCAGGCGAGGTGTGTCTGGTCAGGACACTTACCGGCGGGGCCAGGGCAGAAACTAAGTGTCCGCGCAGCGGTCTGTCCATGGGCTTAAGCCCGGTCAGCATGGAGGCCAGCGAGGACACACGCGCTTCTCGCTCAAAGCCTCCGTGGGAACTGTCGCGAATCACAACGACACTGTGCTTGGATTCACGCTGACCCGACAGCAAGTCCCTTTATTTATTCGTCCGCGTAATGTATTCATGCGTTCATTCATTCATTCATTACCAAGTGTCTTGAGTTTAGGGGGGGGGTTTTGTTACTTTTTTTTTGCAAATCCGCCACCGCTCGTTCATCCAATTGTTCTATTGGCATGCAGCTGCAGAGAGAGAGAGAAGGGAGAATTTGGCTCCCATTCTATGACACCGTGGCCGCGGCCCCCTGGCACGAGACGTTGGCAAGATGACCCTCGAGTGATTTCACGGGCCTTTGCCTGATTTCTCGTCGAGGATCCGTCTGGCCAGCACTTGCCTGGGCTAACAGCTCGCAGCGGTTGCCGTGCGGCGCGCCTGTCCACTCTGCGCGAACAACAAAAATCAGCCTCGCTCGCGGGCAAGGGGTGCGTTGAGCGCCGACGGAACGTGTGGCCGTAACAGGTGGCTGTAGCTGGCAACCGGGCGGCAGGTTGATGGAACCAATCTAGGAACACGTGCGGAAATCCCGGCCTCGTCCCCGAGCGGATGCGGGTGACGGCGATTTGAGCGCGCTTAGGTCACCGCGATGCCTCCGCTGTGAGAGCCTCTCCGAATGTCAGAGTTGCGCACAATGCTTTCGCGAGGAATAACGTCACCGCTGTCACACACACGCACGCACGCGCGCGGCACACCGGAAAGCCTGCAAGCAAGCGACGGCACATCGTGAAATGCACACCGCGGAAATCACTGGGCATGGATAGAAACAATGACAACAACCTCGCTTGCCTGCAGGGATCGTTCGCCCACCTCTTTTTGGTAATGCTCACATTTATGCGGCCAAAATTGGGGCTACACACACACACGCTCCAACTAGGACTAAACGTCTAACTCGCATATTAACTAATCGAAGCTGATGTTAGTCTAACTACTACCGCTAACTCTAATCTACACGCAAACAAGACGTGACTTGCAGCTAAATATTATTATTGAATCTTGGCGGCATAAACTGAAGTATTACCAAAATCGCTGTGTTTCATTTTTTAAATCGTATTATTATTCCCACGTCCACTGTTAAGTTTGTTGACGCGGGTGACTGTGTCGCGTTCGTTGATGGGTTGCGGCAGCTATCGCGCGTTCTGCCCATCGCGATGATTTTCTCCACCCTCCCCCCACCCCGCCAGGATTAGGTGAAGGAGAGAATTGCATCTCACGACGGTCAAGACGGCTGTATTCTAGAGTGTACGGACTCCCAGCGGGCGACAAATCCAGTTAGAGTGTAGCTGCTGCAGTTTATTATTTATTTATTATTATAGGAGTGACACAAAGTTACAATCCGTACACACGACGACAAATCGCTCGGGAGAGGTGGGTTCGTGTGGGTTTGTATCGTTCTTAGCCTTACAATTAATAAAGCATGTTTTGGTCCATTTTACAGTGTTTCACGGACAACGGGGATCAGTTTCTTTTAAACGGTTGCCATTTTTTGGTTTTTATTTTTTTGTTAGGTGTTGTTCTCTTTTTTCGTAGCCACCTGTGCATTTTTTTATTTTTAAAGTATTTTTTTTCTTTTTTTTTAATCATCATTACATACATGTATGTACAAAAATATAGTGCAGGCAGATGTGAGCGAAATAAGCCAAAGGAACAAAATAAACTCCCAAAATAATGTGTGGGTGTGTGTGTCAGCTACGAACGCAAATAAATACGTCTAAATATCGGTAACGTAATTAATAAATAAGTTTTAAAATACGAAACTGAAAAAAAATGTCAAAAGCCGCGCAAAATTCCACGGGGGGGGGGGGTGGGTGGCGGAGATGGGGGCTGGGTGAGGTGGGGGACAGTGATGTCCACTTGACAGCGCTACGAGTAAGGTGACCGGTGTCTGGGTGCCTTTCTTTTTTTTACTTTCAATCCTAAAAGAAATACCACCGCATTCGGCTGGACTTTGGCCTGACCCTCTGCCTATACTTGGGGTACTTTCTCTTGCCTAGGACGGTGGACAGGTATTTTTTAACGGCCATTTGTTTGCGGTACCGGCTGTACAGGTCGGTGAATAGTCCGTCCGAGTGGCGCTTGGACGGTTCGGCAATGCTGCTATCGTCCCCGTCTTGCACCGAGCTGAAACAAAGAGGCGGGGCGGTGGGGGGAGGGGGGACGTAAGGGGGAGAGCACAACGCCGCTCAGACATTCGCTCTCACGTCGCTTTCATCCTCGGTCTTATTAACGTACGCATATTTAACAACAACAGCAGCAGCAAAAACAACTACACGCCCCGATACGGTTAAGATCAACCGCAGGATCTGGCAGCGCGAGAGAGGACGGGAGGAATGGCGAGCAGCGGTAGCATCAGCCGTACCCAGCCTGCGGTGACGTCTTGTCCTCAACATCTGATTATATATGCACGCACACACGTGGCCGGTCGTGAGCCACCGATGAGGATTGTAACGTAAGAGAAGGGCCTAATGGTGTCGTGTCATTATGCGTTGCGTGGCGAACTGGCGCGGGGCGGTGCGTCACCCCTCGTGAGAGAGAAGCGTCTCGTGGAAGATCGCAGCCGCCGCTCCCGAGACCGTTGCTATCCACGCACCAGCGGGCAGGATTTTCTGAAAGGGCCACGCCGTCGAGACATGTCCCCCAGCCAAGATGTAAAAATTCCCGGTTGTCATCAAGTAAAAAAATATATGTAATAAATAAATAAATAGGGCTTGATTTGAAGCTTTCGTGACTGCAGGGATCCATACTCTTTGGTTATTTCGGTAAAGTCACGTAGTTAGAAATAAAATAAAATTAAACAAATCACGGGCCGGCATTTCTTTTTAAGTGTGGCCGTGAGTGACCCGGCTGAGACCATCAACTCGCTCTACTTGAGGGCCCGCCTTGACATATTCGATTTTAGATTCGATTTATTTAAGCGGCGAAATGGCCCGACATAACGTCTGGGCTCAATTTTACGTGCGCGCTGATCGCGGGCGCCTGGTTGAGACCCGGTTTCGAAATCAGCATCTCGGTAGCCTGTGGCTCGGTTTGCTCTGACCTCCCCCCCCCCCACCGAGGCAAGCCGGGGCCACCTCTGCGGCTCGCTGATTCTCAATGGGAGGCAACGCGTGAACCGCCTTGTTAGCGCAGCATCGGGGTGACCCGAGCGTTCGTGTCAACGCCGCAACCCCCTGGCCCTCACATCGGCACCTGCCCAGTTCAACGGCTCAAGATGACGATGCTAACGAAGACAAATCTGGGGTGAACGAGGAGTCCGTTTGGTGGCGAGATGTTAACTACCTCGCCTGGTATACAGGAGGTCGTGAGTTTGATCCCGACCTTGACGCCTGCTGTATATGTGGAGTTTTCGTGTTCTCCCGGTGGTCGTGTGGATTTTTCTCCGATTCCTCCTGTTTTTCCTCCACATTTAGAATCAACATCACGTGTTTTTAAAGTATTTGGCTGCTATAAATGTCCACGTGATCAGCTACTTCGTTGAGCTCTCATTTGTGATGGGCAGGTCGCTTCTAAAAAAGAGCTATACAGCTCAGTGGGCCTTACCCGGTAAAATAAATAAAACAGTAAAGAGTTAATAGACATCATGTCTCGATTGGTTAATCGTTTTTAGGGCGCCCATGTCTCCCGTCTATTCGGCCATGCATCTGTCATATTATTACAGATGCTCTTACGATGTATGGTTCTGTCTTAATTAAGTAATTTGTCGATTGTTTATCTTCATAACCTATATATGTCTTTATTCGTCGTTCCTGTAGGTCTGCCTCGTGACCTCCTTCCATCGGGCGTTCGACGTTTCACGTAGCTTTAAAGTGCACTTAGCCTGGCACAAGCCCCGTGATGATGTCGCCGCCACTTAGTGGCGAATGGCGCTTTTTGTTGTTTATTTATGTAAGCTGCCCTACGTTGCGCCACGCCGTGCACCGTTGCTCTGCAATCGATCGCTTTGTCACCCAGGTCTCCTTTGAATAAAATAAAAGTGCTTTTCATTGTGCCCTCACTTTCTCTGAACAAAGACTTTGATGGATGGATGGATGGACTGTGCCCAACTGTCATCGTCTTGGCACGTCCCACCCCTGTGCCGCTATAGCGGGGAGTTGGGGGTGGGGGGGTTGTGGTGGCGTGCGGCGGGGGTTGCTATTCACCGCCATGGACGAAATCTCGCTCACGGAACCGATAACGGCTTTTGTTTGCTCGCGACAGATAACCCCATGAAACGGAGCGGACGAACGTGCGTGCGGCGCGGCCAACGCGTTCCCAGGCGAAGTCGAATTGCCCCGCTTTGACCGGGATGGATGCGGCTTCTGGATATGAATTGAGTGGCGCTGACAGGCGAGGGCGAGACAGGCGGAGGTCTCTGTCTCTTGCCACGCGAGAGAGCTCTCGCACGCACGCACGCTCGCACACACACACACGCACGCACACACGCGCGCAGTGCGCGTGGCGATGGGGAGGTTCAGAGGAATCTGTTCGGGCTGTCGCTCGCGCTGTGAGAGATTTAAAAAATAATAATAGAAAATCCGCGAGGTGATGCGTGTCAGATTGTTCACGCAAATTAATTCATTTAGTCATGCTTTGTTTTAATTATTGAAGGGGCTTTTGTTTTTTACTCTGTGGCTACTGTTCGGTAACTTTCTGGACGACGACTTTTAAAAGTGGTTATCCGCAAAAACTTTATGAAAAATGTAATTCTCGTCAGGCCCCATAGTGCAGTGCACATTCCTCCAACTCCAACCCTCTCTGTCTCCCTCACCTCTTTATGCGCTATGCAGAAGGGCCATTGGCCCAGACCATCGCCAGTGGTCTACTTTACTTTTTAAGGTCACGGTGTCATTGACGAATGCGTTGAGATTTGCCAACGCAGCATCAGCAAATAGACCGTTCTTAAGTCATTGATTGGCTTCCTTTGCCTATCTACGTCACGGCTATCCTCGCCCTGATGTCCACCAGTTAGATACGTGCACCGCTGTCTCACTACCCGTAGACCTAATAATGATAATAGGAGCTGCTCACAAGTGGCCGACACGATCAGGGTAGGTTTCTCCAGAAATGCGATGTCGTTTCTGTCCTCGGGACGTTCTAGGGAAGAGAGATGCGGGTTGCATTGTGGGTACGTCACGAAAAATTGGATGGGGCACTCTAAATGCAAAAGCGATGATCGGGTAACATCTTGGTCAATTTGTTCCCATTAACAATTGACGATAATACATATATTATGAGCAGCGGTTGTCAACTTGGCAACATGCCTCTCTTATGTAATGTTTGTCCCAAAAATAAAATGTTTTTTTTTTTTATCTTAGATTAAGGAAGCTATTGCCAACATTGCCTCAAACACGACCCTTTTCAGATGGTGACCGACCTTCAAACAGATTAACCAAGTCCTTATCAAAATCTTATTGACCACAATGCTTAATTATTCCAATTGGGGAATTTTTCATCGCTCATCACGTTATATTCAAAATCTAAATAAGAGAAATTTCACATATCACGGGCTTTCTTTTATTAAACTGCCATGCGAGCGCCTTGCAGCAAAAAAACACTCGCATCGCAAAGGTGCGCGGTCGGAAAGTCCCCATCGCACCAGCTAATTTCTCACATTTTGCCCCATCCCGCCAGTCTCTTCATCGACTTTGCTGAAGGTCTCGCTAGGAACGCCCTGGGCTGGCCCTCAGCGCTCTGCAATCGGAGTTGAGGTGTGGGGGGGAGGAGGGGCAGTGCTCAGATTGTCCACATTACCGTGTCCGAGGACGACAGCGGGACTGACTTTCCAAACGTAATGGAACCTGAAGTTCATTTAGCAATCGGTCAACCAGCTCCTCCAGTACTTTTCGACGCTTGTAGCGCCTGATTGTCAATTTTCGGGTGGCGTTGGTGGTGGTGGGTTGTTGGTGGTGGGCGTTCAGTCTCCAATTAAGGGATCTATTTAAGTTTTTCTACACGTCTGTACCCGAACATCTACAGCAACAACAACAACAACAAACACAAATTGCCCTTTCCAATTGACGCACCCGAGGCAGATGTGGGTGGCCGTGTCGCACCCTGTGATCCCGTCTTACGGGAGTCTGTGCGTTGTGCTTCAGCAGAGGGCTCCAGCTTTTGCGGTGTTTGTTTTGTTTGTTTGTTATTTGTTCAGCGACTCGGCAGCACAGCGAACTTCGTTCGGATGATGAACAGGAGAGGCCTCAACTGCGTTCGTCATTTCCCGCCGTCCTTTAAACAGATATATTACCAGCACTGGGCGGATGATGCTATAGGGCAGCGGCTATTTTCCTAAGACCTTATTGAGGCTTTGCCCAAAACATCAGTATCTTTTTCTCGTGTTTCTGTGAGGACGTGTATTTTATGCTTTATTTACCAACACATGAATTGAAGAAGAGTGGTGCTCCGAAACGTCAGCCGAATACATTTTATTTATTCCGTAGCAGTGAATTATTGCTGTGTTACAGTGGTTAATTAAGGCACTGGGGATATAAACCTGGTGAGCTGAGTTCAATTTTCCCAGTCACAGCGAGTGGTATCTGAACAAATCCGAGGCAAACCCCCTTCATGAACCCGTATTGACCTGCGAGGTGAAGTATGGCCAAACAACTCCCGTGATCGGCATTTAATATCTGAGGGTTATTACCTTCGTGGTAAGTTCCCATTCATGCATTTATTACAATGTATACCTCCAACTAAAGCTGTGCAAAATGGAATATAACATGGACACACACACAGTACTACCCAATATATGCACAGTGCAATATATAACAAATTGTCTTCGTTTGAAAAAAATATATATATCGATGAGAGATGGTTGGAGGCACGCGTGAAGTGCAGGGATACGATGAGGATATTGCCGAGGTGAGGTATGATGCCGTACCAGAAGCTAGGGCTTTCAATAGTGGAGGGCATAGTGGGTGGGATGGGGGGTTCCGGGGCCAGGGGCACACCACGCCGTGTGGTCACCGCAACGCCTTCGAACTAAACCGTAAAAATGTACATCAGGCCACGTGACGTCGAAGCGAGGCCGCCCCCCCCTCCAAAGTGCAGGGCCCGGGGCGATCGGCCCCCGTTCGCCGTACCCAAGGGACGGCACGAATCTGAAGCCCGTATAGCGTCACGACCTCTGATGCACCCCCATGCCCCCCGACACACACATTCATCTGTGCCCTCCCGTGCGTAAACAGGACTCTTCCTCTTACCGTTTTCCTGCAATTAATTTCCTCAATATGTTCTTGGCCGCCTTTCTGCCGTAGTACTTGCTGTAGAAATGGGTGTAGATGGAATCCGCGTGTCTCTCCGTTCTGTCGGGGGAATAGAGAGGGGTGGGGGAGGGATATATACTGTGTATAAACAAGAGTAACATTTACGGGTAAGGTCATTTGTGTTCTGTGACATTGCATACGAGGCTGTGTGTGGAGAGGGGTAGTGTAGCGGTTAGCGCGCTGCGCTACGCACCTGGCGTCCCGGGTTCGATTCCCCCTAGGTCGACTCAGCCTTAGATGAGGACTGAGCCTGGTCCGATGTGTGAACATCGCCACTGGGGAGACAAAGGCGGCCGGGCGTGGTCCTGGCCACCCACGCTCTCGTGTGCCGTGCCCGCCTTCATAGGTGCTCGCCAATAGCACTTGCCCCAACAGTCTGCTAATAAGGCTACGGTACGGGGGATCTTTGAATTTGTGTTCATATAACTGAGAGCAGTAGCGCAACCAGAGAGCTGAGTTCAATTCCGGGCCACGGCTAACATCAGTGGCGAGTGATGTCTAAATTCGGCCCAAACACCTCTCACTGTCGACAAAGCCTTGAATGAGTATGAGATGTAAACATGAGCGCTGGGAAGACAAAGGCGGACGGCGTGCAGCTGGCCACACGGACCACTCGTGTGCTGTGCCGGCCGACCCTTAATAGGTGCTCGCTAACAGGCTATACGCCAGGGGATCTTTATCTTTGTAAATGTGAACAGCAGCAAGGCGTCAAACGAGAGAGAGAGAGATATCGGATAGCATTAATGAGATACCATCCACTTACGCACGCATAGCACAGGATACGTAATGTAAGAAGATACGTGTAATGAGTCGGTACCGATATGACATAAACGCCCTTTGGCGATGACACAGCGAGTTTCGCCAATGTAATAAATGCATTGTCACGATACTATACTACAGCGATTCATCATTATTACTATTGTTATTTATGAAAGCTCTTTGACCATCCACTGCTCCAATGAAGGCCCCCGTCCCCACGCTGTGTCGGGCATTGGGGCTGTTTGACCATACTTCACCACGCCGCCGCAGCCTGAGCGAGCTGGCGTGGGCACAGGGAAAAAGGGGGAATGGATTCGGCGCGGGCTGCGGCGCTAACCGATGCGCCACCGCTCCACTCCGACACGGTGACAGAGAGCCGCGTGTGCCCAATTGCTCGCTCGCTCAGAGACGGCGCTGGCAAAGTCCTTCGCGGAGGAATGCATCGCGAATTGCGCGACTGCACGCGTGCGTAACGTTGTGTAGATTATTACGCTATGTAACACGACTTTTGTTCCTGAGTAGTAAGTGTTATTTTCTAATTGCTTATGCCTCTAAAGTACAGAAAACGGCTATTATTATTGTTATTATTGTTCCCCACAAACTTTGCTTTTGTGACCAGGACTTTACGTGAAGGAATGACACAAATGCACACCACGTTTTCTCATTGAAAATAGGTACATTTCAAAATATCACTGTCCTGGTCACAAAAGCAAGGTTTTTGGGGAATAATAACCCATTTTCTATACTTTTGAGGCATGAGCAATTAGAAAACAACACTTACTACCCAGGAACAATTTTTGTTTTGTTACACAGTGACCACCTCATTCCTGTTCCCCAACCCTGTTGCCAGCATTGCACGCGCAAAGGCGGGGGTTTGGGTGAATCACCCTGCGGGTGTTTATTTTAAGTCCGCTCGCTTCAACCCACCAAGAGTCTCGCCGAGTGGCGCGCGACTTCGTCTTCTTTTCCCTTTCAGGAGGAGGGGCCCTGCCAAGTTGGTTTTTTTTTCGTGGAAAGGTGGGGGGGGGGGGGGGGGGCGATGAGACTGCCGCGTTTCGAGTTATTTGCCTGCCGCCATGAAAATATAAGAATAGGGTTTTCTTTTTTTTGCCCATTTCTAGAACTGAAGCAGCAGGTTGTTAAGATGTTCAAACACCAAATAAAAACCTTTTGCAAGGAATCAAGTAACTGCATTAACCACATACAGTCATTGTGGTGACCATGCGAACAAGCATGCTCTGATAACAGATGGCATTGTCTTTGAAACTGATTCGGCCTGGCCTCGTCTCACGAGTGTCAGACTTATTTCTTATTTCGATTTAAAGCTTCCGTGACTGCAGGGATTCATATGATTGGTTCTTTCGGTAAAGTCACGTAGAAGGGAAATATTAAAATAATAAAAATAAAACAATTACATTCTCACGACGTTTCGATTGCAACACAAGCAATCATCATCAGGTGTGAAAACCACAGCAAGAAAATTTGAAAAAAGTGTCGGTTTTTATTTCTTATTGTTTTATACTTTGACACTGGCAAACAAGAAGGTCCCATTTCGACGATACGCCACTTCGTTGGGCCATCATGGTGCGATGGCCAGGGCGACTACTGGAATAAAGAGACAATATAGCTCAGTTGGCCTCACCTGATAAAATAAAATAAAAATCGTGGTAGTATGCGTATGTATCTCTCAGGTCCGCTCCTGAAGCAGACGGCGCGGATTTTGTAGGGATGATTCTCCCGCAGTTGTTACTCGGGGCGGCCGTGAGATCGGAACCGCGATTCTCTACAAGAAGCGGCGAACGCGCTTAACGCTGGGCCATGTCACCGGGACTTGGATCATTATTTTTGCAGAGCGGTGGCGCTAGTGGTTAACGCATTGCTTCATCACTGCGAGTGATATCTGAATCGCCTGCCCCCCCCCCCTCCCACCCACTCACCACTGCCCTCTTTACTACTAACCCGCAATGACCGGCGTGGTGAAGTATGGTCAAATAATCCCCGTGAACGTGGACAAAAGGACTGTCTATGACTATGAATGATCAAAATCTAACACATGCAAAAGCCGTTTTCTCGAATTTTTGCCCTATAAATAAAGAGGTGATGCTACGCAGTCGGTGCTTCCAAGGAACTGCGCCTATCGCTCTGTATAGCCACGTGGGAGTTCCCAGAAGGCTTAGCCAGTATTTGAAGGATGCCTTCACAACGGTTCTACGCGGGTCTCTCTTGCTCTAAATATATTGAGATGGACCTTAAGTCCCAAGCGCCCCTCGCCTATTTGCATGTACACAAAAACCCCACAACATTCATTCGCACAAGTATGCAATACTGTATTGCTGCCGACTTATCAAAGGTCACGCGCGCATACTGATGAGGACTCTCGAAATGTATTAGCGAGTTATTGGTACGTGGTGGAGAGGGAGAGCAGGAGAGGATAAGAGGTTTGGTTGGAGTTCAATCTCAAAACGTTCCTGGGCAAACAGACCAACTACTTAGATTTCTATCTTTGGATTCGAAGTCACAAGTTACACGGTTTATTTCGTTAGCTATCGACACGATATTGATGTACAAACACCCGATGCTGTCCCGGGGGTGAAGGGTCTTCGTCGCGAAATGCGGCAGACATTTCAAAGATGCGCCATGACTGGATCGGACACGTGCTTACCAATTAACGTCGGTTACCAACAAACAAACTGCAGCAGCAGCAGACGATCATCATTAAGCCGCTCAATTGGATCGATTGTAACGCAGTGGGTGATGGAGCTGTAGGGGATGAGCTGTGAGTGAGCCGTGACGGTCTGGGGGGTCCGAGTGTGTCCATTCCCTCTCCCCCTCCATCGATCCAACAACCACCTATCTGTTCGATGTGCTTCGAAGAAGGGCCATTGCCCGAAACGTCGGCGTCGTATCCTTAAATGTTTCATGGGAAGCGGTATGCTGCGAATGCGTTCGGTCTGTGTTCGCTCGTTGTGTTCCTTGGCGCGTCGACGCTTTGCGCGCGGCTGTCGATGGCGGTGTCGGGGTGTCCGTTACCTCTTCATGGCGTTGTAGAGGAGGTTGTAGAGGGCGTGATCGTCTTGTACGGGGCTCTCGGGGGGTTCGACTCCGTCGGGCGGGGCGTCCTCCCCGACGAATGAACCCAACTGCGGCTCGTAGTCCAAGTCGTTGCCCAGGCTGCTGGGAAACATGATGGTGATGGGGGATGATTTTTGGTGGTGGTGGTGGTGATGGAGGTGGTGATGGTGGTGGTGATTTCGGTTATTGATGATGGATGGAGGTAGCGGTGGTGATGATGGTATATACAGTATTGTGTTTGCGTAATGCTTGCTCGGTCAGAGTCATCATCATTGCAATATTCGTCACCAGCATCGGCATCAATTAGATTACCATCGCCAGCGTTTGTAAGAGCACCATCATCAGCATCTGCAGCAAATTCGTCGTCACATTTCATCGTAATTTTGTCAACCGTTATCATCACTCCATTGTTATCATCATCATCATCATCTTCAATTTACCGCAATTGTAATCATCGTCAATCAAGATGCAAGTGTTGGCGAGTGGCCCTATTCGTCAAATGATGGTGGCCCAATGCCCCAAAGTGCAATTAGACAAAGACCCCCCGTATAGCCTTTTAACAGACTGTTGGGGCAAGTGCTGTTAGCGAGCGCCGTTGAAGGCCGGTACGGCACACGAGGGGTGGATGCCCAGCACTACGCCCGACCGCCTTTGTCTCCCCAGTGGCGATGTCTACACACCGCACCGGGTAGTCAATTGAGGCTGAGTCGACCTAGGGGAGGTCCAGGACTAATTTTAGATAATCGCCACTGGTGTTGGCCGTGAGCTAACCCCTACACGCCTCCGCTCGCACACGTACATACATACACACGCACATACATGCGCGTACACGCATACATACAAACACACACGCATATAAACACACACGCACATAAAAAAACGTATAAACGCACACACACACGAATATAAACACACACGCACCGCTGTATAATACGACCAATATTCCGTACATCGGTGACTAATAATACAATTTTACAACGCTCACATAAAACAAGGCAGTGTTGCGAGGGCGGCCCTTTGCAAGCGAGCAAAACAAACAGAAATAATGAGAGCCCCCTTATTGTCGGGCGTGCATTTTTGTTGCTGTTGCAAGTTCCCTCCTCTCGTCGCCGGTTACGAGCCGACGAGCAATCGAAAGTGCGTGTGGCCGAGAAGTCCGAGAGAGAGAGAGAGAGGGGAGAGAGCGGAGAGCGAGGGGAGAACGGAGCCATCAAAATTAACGAGCGTCCCAGGAACGTGTTTGCGTGCTCGCATGCATAATCGATAGCTCCTGAATTGCTGGGCAGATGTATTTGGTCAATTTAACGAGAATGATCGTTCCCCGCCAGTAGCGCGCTAATAGACGCGAGAGAAAACCAACCACCCACCCACCACTCCACAACCCACCTATCCACCCACCCACCGCGCTTCTCTGTGTAAAATGATCCGCTAACATTGTTCCCAATGACATTAGGTCCACCCTCCCACCCTCCCATCAGCCCTACAGGGGATCGCAGCTGCGGCGGCGAGAGATGCAATTACGGCCCAGAAAGGCAAAAGCGATGAAATATTCAGAGCCCGGTGCAAAGTTGTATTCGAGGCGGAGTGGAAAGGATGCGTACACCCCCCCCCACCGCCACCAATGCACGTTGGGTTGCACGCAATGGCCGTGAGAGCTCCGTGTTTTTTGTTGTTGTTGTTGAGCGAATCTGTTGCTCTTTAATTGAAGTGAATTCTCCCAGGACATGTGCGTATGCGGAATGCTGCTGCTACTGCTGATAGTCGGACATCAATGTTAAGCAACACGCCCTTTGGCCATTACTGACCGTGCGGTGTTTTTTTTGTCGAGCCACAGAGGCCCAAATGCGACGCGAAAGCCGCGGCGAGCTAAGTTCGATTCCCTGGACGAGGCTAATACCTTTTGGCAACCGCGTGCCCTGAACGCTGTCCTGCTGGACTTCCCTTACTTGGATCAACTATGTTTGTGCGGTGTGTCAACATTGGCACCGGGGGAGACACAAAGGCGGTCGGGCGTGGTGCTGTCCACACCGCTTGCTGCTCGCTTACAGCGTAATCCCCAGCGGTCTCGACGGCGAAAAGGAGGCGACCTCTGCGCGTTGTCTACCCTTTAGTCCACGTGTCTGCGTGTGTGTCTATGCACCGCTACTTGTGCGTCGTTATACCTGTGTGTGTGTGTATCAATGTGTACGTATCCGTGTACCTCTGTGTGTTTGTCTATGTACGTATGCGTGTGTCTCTCTGTAACTATGTAGTGTCTATGTACATATGTGTATATGTGTACCTATGTGTGTGCCTGTCTGTGTGTGTTTGCCTCGAAACCTGTGTGTGTGTCTCTGTAAGTATTTCTGTGTCTGGGGAGCGCTAGTGGTTAGCGCACTGCGCTATGATCCCGGTGAACCGAGTTCGATTTCTGCTCACGGTCAACATCGGTGACAATTATCTGAACCGGTCCTGGGCTTCCCCTAGGTCGACTCAACCATTGTGTCTCTTTACCTCTGTGTCTATGAACCTGTGTCTATATGCCTGTGTCCGTGTACAGCTTGTATATTTATATACACACGTATGTATATCTGTATTTATACGTGTGTATTTTCCTGTGTACCTATGCGTGTGCGTGTCTCCGTGTCTGTGTATGTCTGCGTGTGTATACGTGTGTGTGTGTGTGCGCGTGTGTGATAGCCACGTGAGTGGGGAGCGGTAACGTAATGGTTAGCGCACTGCGCTACGAGCCCGGTGAACCAAGTCCGATTCCTGCTCACGACCAACGCCAGTTACGATTATCTTAATCGGTCCTGGGCCTCCCCTAGATCGACTCAGCCTAAAATGAGTACTTGGTGTGGTATATAAGCATCGCCACTGTGGAGACAAAGGCGGTCGGGCGTGGTGTTAGCCACCCACCCCCTCGTATGCCGTGCCGGCCTTCATAGGGGCTCGCTAACAGCACTTGCCCCAACAGTCTGTTACAGGCTACACGGGGGGGTGGATCTTTGTCTTTCAGCCAAGTGAAAGTCGCGTGCTTACCGCGCCGTTGGGTATGGAGGAACAGCCGCCAGACAGCAGGCACCGTGATAGCGCAGGGTAGCGATGGACAGCAGCATGACGGCTTGGTAAGGCAGTTTGCAAGTCATCATTCCGCGCTGCGGCAGTCACACGAGGAGAGAGAGAAGGGAAGGGGGGGAGGGGGGGAAACATGATGCACTGTTCTATCCTAGCGCACAACGGCAAGATGTTTCATGAGCTAAATGCCGATGTCAAGGTCTGCTGGCCACGGCGCGAGATCTTCAGGAGAGAAAGAGAGAGCGTTCGCGTCGTTTTGTTATTCCTCCTCCTCCATTGAAGGAGCGCAGCCTACGCTGTTGTTATTACGCGGTCCGTAGTTTTGGTTGCGTGGCCATAGTCGCACCCGCTACTGTGGCTTATCTTTAATGTTCAATTCGTTGCGTCTCGTTCCTCATCCGCCTCTATCGTGTCTGTCGGCTGGGGCAGGCGGCAGGCGGCCGTCGTAGTAGTAAAAGGTGGAGGCGTTTGTAACTTGAGGATACTCATCCGAGCACCGTGTTTCAATTTGGCGCCGGGCGCGGAGGGGACTTTTTTTAAATCCCTGGCACGCGTCCGAGGCTGCGTTGAGACGCCGCGACACGAAGTGCGAGCAGGCGTTAACTCTGCAAATTCTCTCCAGACTTTTGTACGCAAGAGATTGACTCCCCGCGCGCTTCTTCGCCGTTAACTTAACCCGCTTGGCTCGTCGCGTCTCGTGATACAAAATAAGGCGCTTAGCCCCCCCCCCCCCCCCAAAAAAAAGCACCTTTCAGTCGCATTTAATAAAATACACTGAACGGTGCTGTTGCTTGCTGCTGCTCTCTCCGCGATGTTTGGACTCCACGCGTTGGAATGTGGCGTGTTGCTGTTGTCTATTGAATCGTCCATTTGAACCCAGATCTCACGATAAACAAATACCGCAACTCCTGGTTTCGATGCATCGTCTACTTGTCATTAATAACGTTGAATCTTTCTAAATGTGTATTTGTGTTTATAAAAAAAACAACGTACCCATTAAGTTGATCGTAATATTAGCGTAGTGAATTTAGAAACACATTAAACAACGTTCAGAGGGATAAGCAGTTTATACAAGCAATAACTGCAGATGTAAAATATCTGTCACTTTATCTTCCAGTTAACACAAGCCCTGCAAATAACAATCCTTCCAGCTGCATGCACTGATCTCGCAAACAGAACGAGCAAATTATTTCTACAAAGAGAGAAACGCGAACCGTAATCGAGGCAGCGTTTCGGTACACAAAGCGGCCCAGTTTAATGCGTGTTGCTTATAAAAAAAGAAGCTCTAAAAATAAAATCGACTTACGTGCTTTGCTGGTTCGCGGTTTTGTCTTTTGGGCTTGCCGGTAAAAGAGAGGAACGGAATTCTCAGTCGCCGCCTTTCTCGGCTCTTCAGCAGCCAGGAGCTGTCCACAATGCGCGGGTGCTGATCGCCACGCCTGGCTCTCTGCGCTATTTGGCAGAGTCGCTCGACCCAGAGTGGGAGAGGCAGGGAGAGAGAGAGGGAGAGAGAAACGGAGTGCGAGAAATAAAGAGAAAGAATATATATCGCCCCCCCCTCCCTGTTCTTATTATTAAGCTGCGCTTCTAAACCTTAAAATAAAAGCGAGACATTTAACGCGGTCTGGTTACAGCCGCTGGCGGAGTGGAGAGGCGAGCGCTCGCCAGCGGAGTAGCCTCTTGTGTACGTCGGTCAAGGTTTTTGAATCCCTTCCCAAAGCCACAGAGTAACGTATATGTAGCGTCCAAAGACGTCATTCGTGATGTCTTTGCGCGGATGCGTGATCTCTAAACCCTGGCTTTGCAACGCCCGCGAGCCGCAGAAACCGCGTTGGCGTAGATGGTTAATGATGCCAAAAAGCGTCAGGCGCACTTCCTCGTAAGTTACCAATTCAAATAAATTAATGTCCTTCCATCGGTGATGAGTGCTGACGCGTCTGATGAGGGGGTGGGTACAGCGGCTATGGGCAGCCAATAATCGAATTTCTTTTATTTTTATATGATATTTATTCTCGCCGCAACGGGGAAAAAAATCTAGCGTTGCTATTTTTAGCATTGCAGCGCTCGAAAAGTTCAGCCTTCGTGAGGCTGACTTGCACGTGGAAAAACAAAAGTGGATTTTATTTTTTTTGTATTTCCACCATCGCTTCATTTCGGCGAGTTAAAATTTTAAATCGCTTAGCTCTGGCGCGCTTCGTTGTGCAACTCGAGAGCGCATTTTTTGCGCACTAAGGAGCGTAGAATTAATTTGCGTTTAGGTATCGCGCGAACAGCTGGGGCTGGTTGCTCGCGAAAGTTTGATATAGTTTTACGCCTTTAAGGCATGACGACGAACAAACCCTCTAACGGCTGCCGAACTCGGAAGTTTTTTTTTTCTAACGCGAATCTATTTTCGCCTTCCACGTGTACTGGAAACGGGTGTTATAAATAAAACACAGGCGCGAACGGTGTTATTTTTATATCAACGTTTTAATACAATTTGTGCAACGTGTGCATGAGTGTGTGTGTGTGCTTGTGCGTGGGGAGCGATAGTATAGCGGTTAGCGCGCTGCGCTACGAACCCGAGTACCCGAGTTCGATTCCCGCTCACGGCCAACACCAGTGACGATCATCTGAGCCGGTCTTAGACCTCCCCTAGGTCGACTCAGCCTCAAATGAGTATCTGGTGCCTGTGTGTTAAAGCATCGCCACTGGGGAGACAAACGCGGCTGGACGTGGTGCCTGGCCACCCACCCCCTCGTGTGCCGTGCCGACCTTCATAGGTGCTCGCTAACAGCACTTGCCCCAACAGTCTGTAACGGCCATACGAGGGATATTTGTGTGTGTGTGTTACGTTGCTCCTTGCGAACAACGACTTGCATGGGCTGTGCGGGCTGTGCGGGGGGGTGGGGGAACCTTCATTTTCGTGTATCGGGACTTGTTCGAAATGTAATTGTCATTATCGACGGTTTAGCAACGGGTACGAGTTCGCAGGCTTGCGACCGGACCTGCGCGTCATATAAATAGCCCGTGCAGTGCGAACACCTCGATCGCGTAGCGGCGGTGATAATGACTCTGCCACAGGTACTCGCCCCGAAAAAAAGGCTCCACCGGCCTCAATATAGCAAAGACGGCAAGCCGAGTCTCATTACTTGCTAGACTGCCGCCCCGGCTCGTAATTGCATCTAAATATAGCTGGTGTGGTAATGCAATCACGTGTGCGTGCGTGTGTTTGTGTGTGTGCCCCCCCCCCCTCTTCCTCCCGTGTCGTGTGTCTATATGTGTAAGGGGAGCGGTGGTGTAGCGGTTAGCGCGCTGTGAGACGAATCCGGCGATCTAGATAGACTCGGTCTGAAATGAGTACCTGGTGCGGTGTGTACACATCGTCACTGGGGAGACAAAGGCGGCCGGGTGTGGTGTTGCTGGCCACACACACCTTCGTGTGCCGTGCCGGCCTTCATAGGTGCACGCTAACAGCACTTACCCCAACAGTCTGTTACAGGCTATACAGGGGATCTTTGTCTTTGTGTGTACACAAGCGTTATCCGACTTTTGACAGCGGCGTCGTATACGTTTTATTATGTTTAACGAAGTGTACACAACCTGGCAGTGTATCCCGCTCCTACCTTGACGGAAGCGCGGCGTTTACTTATGCATTATTATTTGCGGTGAGTCAGTCAAGAACAATGACTTTTGTTGGCTCAGACTTTTTTTTTCCACTAGTTGGACAGATTGAAAGGGCAGGTGTGGCTGTGTATGGTGACGCGTTGTTGATTATTAATGTGCATCGAATAATATATATGCGCGTGTGTGCGTGTGTGTGTGTGTGCTCGCCGGCCATCGTAGGTGTTGGCTAACATGACTTGACCCCTTACGGGGAATCTTTGTCCTTGTCGCAAGGGAACGCGATGTTTTGGTTTTGGATGGTGTGTATGGGAAATTAGCAGACCGCAGAGCATCACTTTTCTCAAGTATTTATCGGTATAAGCGAATCTTTTTTTTTTCACGTGTTCACTTCGCGCAAATGTATATGCGCGCATGTTCAGCGTATGACAGTGCCGTGTAAACACCTTTGAAACATGCGGTCAGCTTGCTTTCCAAGAATTCACGCCAAACTGCGCACGTTCTACTCGCAACGTGTAGCCATATAGGGAGACACATATAGGTTTCGCTTTATTGCCCATTGCTGCCACCTATGGAAACGCTATCATCTTAACCATCAGCAGATCGCTGCGTTGATACCCACTTCAACGTGGTTCGAGATCCCCCGTATAGCCTGAACAGACCGAAGGGGCAAGTGCTGTTAGCGAGCGCATATTCAGACCGCAACGGTACACGAGGGGGTGGGTGGCTAGCACTACGCCCGACCCCCTTTATCTCCCCAGTGGCGACGTTTACACACCGCACCAGGTACTTATTTGAGGCTGAGCCGACCTAGGGGAGGCCCAGGATCGGTTCAGATAATCGTCACTGGTGTTGGCCGTGAGCGGGAATCGTTCGTAGCGCAGCGCGCATAACCGCTACACTACCGCTCCCCACCTACACACACACACATACGTACACATGGATACATACATCATCCACACACACAAAGACATGTACGTGACCGCGCAGCCTGTGCGTCTGTGAAATGTAATCGGGCACGAACGATTAGCGACTTTTTTCGTGTTCGCCGGACACAATTTTTTTTTGCGGACTCGATAAATCGAGCGCAACAACCGCCCCCACCCCCCCCCCCCCCCAAAAAAAAAAGTGTTAAAAAAGAAGAAAATGCGCTGCGCAGACACTGGACGGGTCAGTCGTCGTTTTCTCAGTGTCTCGGCAACGCCGCGACAGCTCACGGGGGTGGTGAGTCACCCCCATCGCCTACCGCCTCGCCCACGGAGCCGGAGGCGTTCGCCCCTCTCTCGTCCTCGCAGATTCTCGAATTCGAATCCGGCGGGCGGCGCCCTGGGATTTGCCGCGGCTGTAAATGACCGTCATGGTGGGAATTGCCTCTGCGCGCCGCCCGCTTTTATGAAATCCCGGCCACCCGGGGTTCCATTCCCGTTCACGGCCAACACCCAGTGACGATTATCTGAACCGGTCATGGGCCTCCCCTAGGTCGACTCAGCCTCAATTGAGTACCCGGTGCGGTGTGTAAAGATCGCCACTGGGGAGACAAAGGAGGTCGGGTGAGGTGCTGGCCACCCACCCCCTCGTGTGCAGTGCCGGCCTTCATTGGTGCTCACTAACAGCACTTGCCCCTACAGTCTAAGGCTATACGGGGGGATCTTTGTGTTTTGTGTGTGCGTGTGTGAGTGTGTGCGTGCGTGTGCGTGTGTGTGCTCATGACCGGCTCCGGTTTAACAGCAGAGGTCTCCCTCCGAATCAGTCGAGCGGCAATGTCTTTTCATCTTTTGCGTAACGCTGTGTGGAAGCTACCTGGTCTGTCGCTCCGCACGAAGCTTCAGGTTTTCTCGGCCACGGTCATTCTCTCCCTTCTCTACGCTTGCGAAACGTGGACCCCCTAATGGAGCATCTTCGCCGGTTAGAAACATTTAGGCTGGCCTGCCTACGATCCATCCTGGGTTTAACCAGGCTGGATTGTGTGAGGAGCTCACGAATCCTTGAAAGATCTGGGCAAAGTCCCATCGGTGAGCTCCTCCGGCAGGCGAGGCTGCGTTGGCTGGGTCATGTAGCCCGCATGCCCAGCCATCGCATGCTTAAACAGCTTTTGTTCGGCAGAATCGAGGGGGCTAAACGGGCGCGGCACGGGCTAGAGAAGACATGGAGCGATGTGGTACAGGAGGACGTGGTGCTGAGTGAACTTGCCGATGACTGGTACCAGCGGTGTCAAGATCGGCCTCTGTGGAGGAGGCTCGTGAAGGGCGCTACTGGGCAGTTGGAGGCAGTGGCCTTCCAACAACAACGGAGGGCGGAGGAGCGACGCTCACAACAACGAGCGGAGCGCCGGTGGCTAAAGCACAGCAAGTTGGCAAAGTAGGAGGCACAGGTGGTGCATCAGTCAGTCATCTCAGTCAGTCGACCCGCGGCACCTGGGTCTGCCCCGTGACCTCCTGCCAGCGGGCGTTCGACACCTCACGTGGCCTCAAGGTGCACATGGCCTGGAACAAACGTCGTGGTGACGTCACCGCCACTTAGTGGCGAATGGCGGTTGATGTTGTGTGTGCCGGTGGCGTCGGGGTTCAAATTTGCCAAGATTGGGATCACTCGTTTTGGGATTACGGCGATAGGTCGCTCCGTGCTGGCAGACTGTACCTCCGATGAGCACGGTTACCTGCGTACGGTGCGAAAGCAGTTCACCGTACAGACACAACGATACCCCTTGCAAATTAGAATAATTCTGATCTCTTACAATACAAGATACTCTACACTTCTTACTAGAACGCCCCCACTACAAATGTTCAAATACCATGACTGTGACTACCCTGGCTATGAGTGACTACCCTGGCTGTGAGTGACTACTCTGACTGTGAGTGCCTACCCTGGCTGTTTGTGACTACCCTGGCTGAGAGTGACTACCCTGGCTGTGAGTGACTACCCTGAGTGTGAATGACTACCCTGGCTGTGAGTGACTACCCTGACAGTGTGTGACTACCCTGACTGTGAATGAATACCCTGGCTGTGTGTGACTACGCTGACTGGGGTGACTACCCTGACTGTGAGTGACTACCCTGGCTGTGTGTGACTACCCTGGCTGTGAGTGACTACCCTGGCTGTGACTACCCTGACTGTGTGTGACTACCCTGGCTGTGAGTGACTACCCTGGCTGTGACTACCCTGACTGTGTGTGACTACCCTGGCTGTGAGTGACTACCATGACTGTGAGTGACTACCCTGGCTGTGAGTGACTACCCTGGCTGTGACTACCCTGACTGTGAGTGACTACCCTGACTGTGAGTGACTACACTGGATGTGTGTGACTA